AGACTGGATTTCAGAAAAGTGAAAGGACAGCTAAAGTCAATGCCTCGCCTGCCAGTCAACCGAAGTCATTAACACCACCTTGTGGTGCCTGGTGTTAGCTACGGACTTGCACAATTGTTGTGCTGGAACCAAATTGCTGGAGGGAAAATACGCATCTCCGAAGCAGAACTCAGTTCTGCTTACAGCCTGAAATTTCATAGTCCGTTTTACTCGGTACACATATAAAATACCTATACCACAGGTGGTGTGATTTTTGAATATTTTAAAACACTACTGATGTTCATAGGAGCCCTATTCTTTATGTACGTGTAAATGGACTAGTCTGCAGTGACACGCTGACCCACCTAGCAAACATGAAACCTTAATTAATTAGGATGGTATCGTTTTATATATATATATATATTCTATATATTATTTTATATCTATATTACAAAGGAAAAAATGAAAGGTAAAAATAGCGAAGGGAAGAAAAGCTATTTAAGTCCTGCGCATTTTGACTTGGTAGAAGGTGAAAGAGTTGCCTCTGAAAGACAGGGGAAGGAACTTTAAAATCATTGTAAAGTGTAGCAGATTGGAAGGTAGCCTCATGATACAAATAAATCCCTGGCTCTAGGCCTCTAACTTAGCCTGAGTTAAGCTAGAAATACTTTCCTGGTAAAACTGGGCTGTAACCATGAGAAAGATACCCATAGATCTATGAAATATGCTGTCCTTTGACTTTCTGGACCCTCTTTAATCTGCCCAGATTTGTTTCCCACATTGTGTACTGTATGATTTGTATTAATACCTTTTCTTTGTTTAATTGCATGCATATTTGCAGATTTTTTTCCATCTCTTCTTATTTAATTGTTCTCTCATTGAGTTTTCATGTAGTCATGATAGTCTACAGTTTTTCTGAAAAAGACTTTTCTAAACTTTTATTTACCTGTCAGAGTAATTTTCTTCGAATGCTGCATGTCCGTGATAGTCCTAAAAGTTAATTACTAAAACCAGATGAGTCATTGTGATGAGAGAAACTTTTAACAACCCCAGAGTTTCTCTCTAGGGAATAGGATGTCAAGAACATAATCACATCCAAAATTTGTTACTCCATATGCAATAATTTATTGCTAACACTGGGCTAGTTTTTCCTAGGTTACAGACAAACATGACATTTATACCTCTCAGTATTCTCATTTCTTCAGGATTTTTTTTTGATCTTAAAACCAGCATCTCCAGTTTGCCTTTGCTTACTACTACTTCTTCCTGTTATATTTTACTTTCGTGTTAGGGTATACTTTATTTAACTAGTTGCTCCATGTGCTTAAGAAAGATAGCATTGGTAAGAGAAGTAGTACCCTGATAGCTTTCTTATTTTTTGAGTACTCCCTACTGATTTACTGTGAACAGTAAACCCTTCCTTTACAAAGCACGTTTGTTGACTTTGACATTCGTAGGCCTTTGTTTCTTAGAGCTGGCAAGCTCTCACTAGATGATGGGATTTTTTCCTGAAGTCATCCATTCCTTTTTCCTTACAGCTGACTAAGTTACACTTCTGCTGCTCTTAAGAAATTGCTAAGCAAGTTAAGAATGTGCACATAGCTACAGTGGTGACTGGGGAGGAGGCAACTGCAGTGCAACACAGCTGCTCATCTCAGCGCGACTTGCAGTTTAAGGCCCCCTAGAAGGGCCTATAGCTTGATAAATCTGTGTTTGAGTTTATAGCACAAGCTGTAGTAGGTCACCAGAGTGCTGTATTAGCATACAAATGCTGTGATTGGTTGAATGTATTTGTTGCATTTTAAACAGGTAGCACGGATGACCCCTTAGCTGATCTTTCAGAGGTCTTGAACACTGATGATGATATTCTTGGAATACTTTCTGATGATTTGGTAAAGTCTGGAGATCATTCGGGTATGTATGCTTATAAGGTCTCTATGGTATTTGTTTTCTTCTTTCTCTTTATTACAGAGGTAGACGTTGTATTAAATCTGCAGGTTATGCTGTAGGTGATTTCAGATGTAATTTTTGTATCTTAAGAATACCTTAGTTTGGCAGAAGACAACAGAATCCCTCTCAAAAAACCCAACTTTTCCAACATTTTATTTTACTTAACTCTTTGCTTTTCTGCTTAAGAGAGAATAAAAAATAGCTTCCGTTGTCTATCATATCTGCGTAGCTTTTTCAGCATGCAGCTTTTTCTTTACTTTTTTTTTTTGTTTTCGTGTTATAATCATCCATTTTATCTGGTTTGGGTCCTGTAGGTCTTGATTTATGCACTTTCCAGGTTGAGAACTCACCCTCCCCATTTGGTAAGAAAATAAACAATGGATGATCCATGGTTAGAAGTAGTCATCTTTCCTAGTGGTCTTAGCTGAAAGAACTGCATGTGTAGAAACTAGTACTCCTTTACTGTGTCACTAATTCGTGCTCTCATTTCCCACTTTTTCTGTACTGTCGGACTCTTAACACAACTTACCAAGTCTTGCACTCCTCACTTTATTTAAATAGAGTACTCCGTAAAGTTTTGCTTACAGTTTTTAAAAGCCTTCCTGAGTTTTTGTGTGTTTCGTGATACAAAGCCATGCATTTTCTTGCTGTCACTATTATTTTTAATATTACTTGTAGTGTGTAGTGTTTATTGTAGTAGTCTCTTGTAAATTAAAAGCGTTTTAACAATGTGAATATATTAAAGCATGGATAAAGCAGTGAACATCAGTCTTTTTGTTGCCACTGGATGATGATTCATCACTTTATGTTAAGCACAGGTTGACAAGTAGAATGGCATGTTTCATTATTTTGAATTGTTTTTATTTGATATTTAATATTGAAATATCTTTTAAATACTAAAGTCTCCAGGGCTTTTTCAAAGATCTTTCACTTTTGAGAGATTTATTGACTTGTAAAGGATGTGATAAAATTCACATAATGTTTCCTCAGTATCCACAAATCACTTTGTCTAATGCAACCTAGAATATTCAGTAGTTGTTTCTGAGATGGAAGCTCCTATCACTGTTCAATATTAGGTACACCTTAACAGCACTTCAGTAGATATTTAATATATAAGGGCATCTGGGTGAAACTAAGGTCAATCAGGATGAAACATACTGACTGCTGGTGTGATAGTTTTTGAAATGTATAAAAGAGGTTTAGTGGAATCACTGAACTGAATACTGAAAACTGTATACTTGAAAACATCTCATACCTCAATTCAGTAATCTTACTTCACCAAATTTTTTTTCCCATTCTTTCAGTTTCATTTCATTAAATTAGCATTCATTAAACAGTACAGCAAACTGGGAGGTAAATAGGGGTTTTTTTCTGTTTACCTTTTTTTTAAATGAAAGTCTTACTTTGCCTTACCTTTCAGATTTTAGAAAGTCTTGATTTAGTTGACAGCTCAGCTCTAGCAACAAGAAAAATTGAAATTGTGTCGTACTCTTTATTCTGTATCAGTAGGTTTTATTATTTATGTCTCACTAAATATTCTTTCCTCCTTCAGCTGGACTAGATATTGGTCCCATGTCTGATGATCCTTCTTCTCTGCCTCAGCCAAATGTCAACCAGAGTTCACGGCCATTGAGTGAAGAACAGTTAGATGGAATCCTCAGCCCAGAACTAGACAAAATGGTCACAGATGGTAATTTGTTTATCCTTCATCTTGGTCTTCTAGAAAACTTAAGTAGACACCTTCTTTCTTTTCTTTTCAAATTACTACCGGTGTAGGGTAGCCTGCCTGTTTACATTTGGTTACAGAATTAGTTTTATTGCATTTTTTGATGATTGTTCATTCTGTGTTGTTTTTACTTTGCCCAGGTGCTATTCTTGGCAAATTGTACAAAATTCCAGGTATGTATTGTGATCTTTGTTGTCTTTTGTAAAGCGTGGTTCACGAACAAGGCCAGCCAACTCATGCATAGCATTTTTGCAGAACTAGGAGGGAAGGATGTTGAAGACTTGTTCACGGCTGTATTGAGTCCAGCGACCACGCAGCCGGCTCCTTTGCCACAGCCTCCACCTCCGCCACAGCTTATGTCTTTGCACACTCAGGGTATGTTTCTTTGTTAATTTAAGAAATGGCAGCCCGGTCAAGGGAGTTGTGCATCTTCTAAGTACAGATAGGAAAGTAGGATGAGCCTTATTCTCTGCCTTTGCTAATTATAGAATATTATGGAATGCGCATGTAAATATGGCTAATACAAAGGATAGACAAGAACAGAAAGGAAAGACAATTATTTTACATTTTTATGACATTAGGGAGCTATTACTTGAGGTGACGCTTTCACATTCTGGAAATTAGTCTGTAATAAAGTGTGCGCTCTCTTTTGATATTACTCTCTTGTCACCTCTGAGTACTTTCTGCAGGGTAAAGAAAGACTGTATGAGAGTGATTTGCTGAGTGTTAATTTCCTTTAAGAGTTCAGCTTAACGTGTTGGTTAGTCCTATTCAAATAACAGAGAGAGGAGACTAAATAATTTTGAAATATAGCTGGAAGATTATCCTTTATTCTCTTTCTACTAAAATTTCCACGAGCAGTGTGTATCATGAGTTGATAGAGCACATTGTTGCCTTCACATTGGACGTGAGGAGTAGAGTGTGAGTTTATTTGTTGTTGTTACGAGTAGAGTGTGTTTAGGAGTATGCATAAGCATAATTAAATGCACACTTTTCTCACGAGACATTACCTCTGGTCAGTTTTCCCTGAGCTCATGTAAAGAGGGCCCATTCTGTTATACCAGTAGTATTGATTTCACCAGTTCTTTAAAAAATAAAAATAAAAAAAAAATAAGGGGCGGGGGGGGAGGGAGAAGAAGAAAAAAAGATTGGTGTCCTAGTTGGATGGATTTCCATAATAATGAAAGATATCAAAAAGCCCTAGACAGGAGAGAGTTTAAAAGCAAATAATGAGGTGATTTGAAACAAAAGATAATAGAGATATCATTGCCTGTTTCCCATTTATTTGGGTACTTGCAGATAACTTCAGCATTTGAGCTCTGTAAGATTAACTTTCTCCCTCTGGGAACTGCCACGATTACTTAAGTTTTAGCTTTATAATTTGGTTCAGTTATGGTGTAATGATCTACATATTTCTATGAGATAAACACTTCAGTAATGGGGAAGCTTGTATCGAGTTTCAGCAATTACAAATAAAATGAACGCTCTCTCTTTTCGTATAGACGTGTGATTTTGCAGCACACATCAGAGGCCTGACTCTCCAGCCTGTTTCTTTGCCAGGTCTTCATGGTTACCGTGTACCATCTATTTACCGGCTATCATAAAGCATATCCTCTTCAATTCTAATTGTTATTTTCATCTAAACAAAACCTACCTAGTGAATGTAACCTATGTGTCAGAAAACAGTCACCTAAAGCATGAGAGAATGGTAGTGTTTTCCTACAAATGCATCAAATTCCTGAACTACTTTTATGCTTTTAGGAAAATGTTGGGAACACAATTAAAATCTTACTTAAGTGATAGAGATTCAGAGGTCAGTGTTAATTCTGTGTAGGAACATCTGCAAAGACCATCTGCTGGAGTAGATCTGCCTGTGCCACGTTTGCCTAATATTTTAATCAAACAAATAAAAATTTCTGCCTCAATATTGCTAGGCTGGACATGTAATTACAATGCGGATGCTCATTTGACTAGATTTATCTGTTTCATTGGTTACAGATTATGGCTTTAGTAGATAGTGAGGCTGGCTTTGGTGCATTGCTGTCTCAGAAGAGGAAATTTTTAATTCAGGTGGTTAATGATAATTCTGCAAGGACTGAGAGCAACCATCTCCATGCTTGTTGCTTGGCAGCATAGATTTTTTTTTTTTCTTTGTGTAGCACTGGATCTGGATATAACAAATGTTACAGACCAATAATCTTTAAAAATGCACCTCAATATAAAGTGTTGTACCATGGTGGTAGCATAGGCTAGTGGGAAGCTTTTGAGACTCCCATTGAAAGAACTTAATTGCCAGACAAGAAAAGATTCTGCACAGGGATGTGATGAAGTAGCAGAGAGTCCCTTAAATTTGTAGAGAAGCAAAGTAAATTGGTTTCAAGTCGTATCCAAAAATTTAAGGTTAGTACTGTAAAATTTTAAAGCAGTTAGTTTATTGTTAGATGAAAGAGATTCCTATCTATATCTCAAAAGCACTCATCCTTTAAAACAATAATTTAAACTTTTTCTTTCTAGGAGAGAATGCATTTTCAAGAGTACCACTAATGAATGGTCTGATTGGTCCTAACCCCCATCTCCCTCATACAGCTTTGACTCCTGGAGGTGGACTAGGCACTTTCTCTCCCATTACGCAGCAACCATATACTGATGCGAGGTAAGTCAAGCTGGGGAGTCAAAAATATCCATTGTTTAGCATTTATCACTTGGGGGTTGTTGTTGTTATTAATGTTGTGGTGGTGTTAGTATTTTAAATATTTAGCTCTTGACAGCCAGTGCAAAAACTTCTGTGTTCTTACAGCCTGCTGACTACTGAATTAGCAAGCATAATAATTATTTTGCTGATAGGTTTCTCTCAATATGCAAAAACAATCTATAAAACGGAGCTCTTCTCTAATTTGTCAGGGATAAGAATCCAGCGTTCAATCCAATGGTAAGCGATCCAAACAGTTCATGGGCACCATCAGCGCCACCTTTGGAAGGTGAAGGCGATACCATGTCCAATGCTCAAAGAAGCACTCTGAAGTGGGAAAAAGAAGAAGCACTGGGTGAAATGGCAACAGTAGCGCCTGTTCTCTACACGAATATCAACTTCCCTAACCTAAAGGAAGAATTCCCAGGTGAGTGAGTGATTTACTTAATGGATTCAAATGTTCTGTAGCAAGTTAGGCATCTTTATTTGAAAGAGTTAATGTAAAACAGACTTACCACAGTCTTAATATATTAACTCTTTTTTGATTGCAGACTGGGCTACAAGAGTGAAGCAGATTGCTAAACTGTGGAGAAAAGCAAGCTCACAGGAAAGGGCTCCGTATGTGGTAAGAACAACTACCACCTGCATTCCCATACTTTCAGAGAAAATACACTTCATCTATAGGATTGCCCTGAGATTTTTAAAATACATTAAGTTCTAGAGTTACTGGAAGTTCACTGTATGTAAGAATGCCTTTGTAATTTAACTGCACACCCTAAATACGTTTACCTATTTTCTTTGCTTTTCAGCCTTGAAATAAACTATACTGATGTTGTTGTATGATCCAAAGGCTTCAGCTGAGAACACTTACAGTTCCCACTGCTTCTTTGCTACGTTTGATTCATGCTTCAGGTCTCATTTGCTCTGTCTCTTTCTGCACAGGATCTCACCAGCTACTTCCCAAGGATAGTAACAAAACATGATGTGACCACCACCTTCATTTTCCCCTCTTACCATTCTCTTTTCCCCGTTAAGGATGCTGAAGTTTTTCACCTGTTGAACTAACCGTTCCAGAGGCCTGAATACCCACGTTCTGCTTTCCCCTTTTTCCTTTACACTTGTGGTCTTGCCTTACTGGTTCCCTTAACTACTTACTCTCTTCTCTCTCTACTCTTGCAGTGCAAACATATTTTGACATCTTCCGTGTTGTGGGGAGCATGAGGGACTATGATTTTTCTCTCTAAATCGTTCTCCTTCTTCACATCTGAGTCAGTAGAGCACACACTTTAGTCGTAGCTGTCTTGGCCATTGATTCCATTCTGTAGAACTTCTCTGACCCGACTTGGGACCCGTGTGCGCAGTTGAAGCTCTTCTTGTTGAAGACTGACCACATGCACATCTCGGAACCAGTATTACTTTCGTTCTTTTTGGACTGCACAGCCGTTATTGGCAAACTTTCTTCAATATTGGCAGACTTTTCTTTACTTTCCTGTTATTCTTTCCTGGTACTTATCTTACTGCGCAACCAACAGCAATTGGATGATCATTTTCCTTCTCAGTTTGTAGATTTCTGTGAATTTCTAGGTTTTGTCTTCAGTCTCCTTCTCTTCTCCCTACGTTTTTCTAATCGAGTCTCATTAGCCAAAAATTTGACTCCCGTATACGTAGGTAACTCAGAGCTTAACAATACCAACATCATCTACTGTCTAAATTCAGAATTCCCATTACCTCTCGGACAACTTTAGGAGAAGAAATTATTAACCCGAATTCAGGATGGGAAGAGGAGACTCAAACTACAGAGCTCCTGATCGCTCTGAAGCCCTTCCCACTTGATACAATCCCTCCTATTGTTTTCTTTTTATCATCGAGGCAGCATCATTATTCTGCTTATTATTCAGTCCCCTGTAACTTGACTCACCAACTGAACATGGTGCTAATTATGTGTAGTGTTTACAAGATGCTGTCTACTTTAATGAGTGTTTTTTTTATCTAGGCATTTATCACTTCACAATTATTTCAGTTACTGAATTTATCTCTTTCACTGCTCTTAACAAATAATAGTCCTATTTTCCTGATGGGTGTCCAAAAAGTAGCTGCAAAAATTATCTCCCTCTTGTTTGGGAGGGTTGGAGGGCACACACATGTACTCACACAAGTATAAACATAGTGAGAAGCAGTTAGGTCCTCACAGAAATTGCACTCCATATACTCTTACCATTCAGCTGTTGCCCGCGTGCCTAGCATTTTGCACACAAGAAGCTGCTGCAGTACTTGCCTTGAGGAGCTTTCACTCTAGGGGAATGAGTAAAGGCTTCCTTAGAAAAAAAATTCAGAAGAGATTTCTTATGCTTTCACTGTTGATTTTTTACTTTCCCTAGTATGTGTAATCACATGACTTTAAGGGGGGGAATGACATCAATTCTTGTGCTGCTGAGAAACTGCTGCTCTCATCCGTATCACTGTTTGTGTTTGTTTTATGGGAAGGGGACATTAAACCTTTTCTGCTAGGCAGCCCCCATTTGAGAACTGCAAATAAAATTACGAAAAAGCAGATGTGAGGATTTGATTCGGAAAAGGAACCACATCCCATTTTGGTGGCAAAAAAGACTCTTTGAAGCTTCCATTAGATGTTTTAAAGTGTCATTGTTGCTTTTAAATGCCTCACTGAAGAGGAATTGCTGTTGTTCGGTCCAATTTTTCTTGATCCCTAAGCCCATATTCTATGCTTGTACTGCTAACTTAACACAGACTGAAATCTATAGAGGCTATTTAATGGAGTAGGCTGTATTTTTCTTGTCATTGAAGTTCTCCACGTTAGTGGCCTTTATCGATCCAAACATCATCAGCCATCTTTTTGTCTTCCCATTTCAGACCACAGCAAGATGTGATTTGAAAGGTAAACTGGAGGATTCAAGCTTTCTTGGCACAGTACAGTACCTGAGCAGAGACTCCTAATACCCCTGCTAATAACTCCTTAGTTTTTTCTGTGTACTTTAAACACAGCCTTTCTATAGAGATGAAGTCTTTTCAGTTTGGAGTTCCCTGCAGAGGTGCATTAACTTGTTTTTTTACCAGCGTGTGTATGATTAAATCAAGCTGCATGAATAATTTGGTTGTAGATTTTGTAGGAATTAAAGATGCAGTGCTTAGCACTTACCAAAAGAAAGCAAGGCACACTACATGTTTTTATCTTTTCCCAGCAAAAAGCCAGAGATAATAGAGCTGCTTTGCGCATCAATAAAGTACAGATGTCAAATGACTCCATGAAAAGGCAACAGCAACAGGATAGCATTGATCCTAGCTCTCGTATTGACTCTGACCTCTTTAAAGATCCATTAAAACAGAGGGAATCGGAACATGGGCAGGAATGGAAATTCAGACAGGTTTGTTGCATTTAGAGTATTTCTTTTTTTTTTTTTTATTGCTGCTTTTTATTGCATTGTTGGAGTCTTTTTTCTATTGTAATAAAACCAAACTTAATCTTTGTGGAAGAGTATAGATTCAGGTGTTCTACATAGGACAAACGTAGACGCTATTGGAAGAATTGGAAGAAAAGCTTATTGCAAACATTAGAAAACTTTGTCTTAAAACTTTGATTCTGAACACCTACCTATTACAGAAATGCATTGTTCTTTCTCTGTATGACCAACTATTGCAGCAGTTTATATACTGTGTATTGCAATAACCTTGTCCTGCAGACTCCATTGCTTTTAATTAGACTGGTACATATATGGATCTCTCAGAGATCCATCAGTGCTGCATTTGTCAGTGCTTTCTTCTTCAGAATATAAGTTTGGGAAGCAGTGCTGCTCTTCAGGCAATCTGGGAAATGCTTTTCTTCCCAGGCAGAGCGTGTACGTCAAGTTAATTTAGCTTTGCAAATAGACATGCCCTCTGATCCTGTTGCGTTTAAGATTTGGAATTATTCTTAGCTGGTCTTTAATGTGTCCTAAAATTGTAATTATTAATTCATTTTCAGTCATCAGAAAGACGGTATCCCTTAGACTTAAAAGTGTAACCTTTTTCCTCATAATTTTAAAACAGCAAATGCGTCAAAAAAGTAAGCAGCAAGCCAAAATAGAAGCCACACAGAAACTTGAACAAGTGAAAAATGAGCAGCAGCAACAGCAGCAGCAACAGCAGCAGCAGCAGCAGCAGTTTGGTTCACAACAGCTTCTGAACCAGTCCGGGTCAGACACACCCAGCAGTGGGATACAGAGCCCCTTAACACCTCAGACAGGCAATGGAAATATGTCTCCTGCACAACAGACATTCCATAAAGATCTATTTACAAAACAGCAGCTACCTACTACACCGACTTCAGCATCCTCAGATGATGTATTCCTAAAACCACAAGCCCCACCCCCTACTCCATCCCGAATCCCGGTGCACGATTCACTCTCTCAATCTCAGACTCCTCAGACGTCATCACAACAGATGTTTTCTCCAGGTTCCACAAACACAAGACCTCCTTCTCCAATGGATCCGTATGCTAAAATGGTGGGAACACCTAGACCAGCACCTGTTAACCAAAACTTTGTTAGAAGAAGTAGCATTGCACCATTAGACACCTGTGCACCACAGTCATCTGTATCTAGGCCCATTCAGGTAACTGAACCATCAGGCAGCAGGCCTTCACCAGTCAGAGATTCCTGCTCTTCATCTCCAGGTAGCAGCGATCCCTATGCAAAGCCACCGGACACGCCCAGACCTGTCATGGCATCAGATCAGTTCTCCAAACCATTGGGGGTCCCAAGATCACCTGTAGTTATAGAACAGTCAGGGAAAGGTCCTTTACCAGCTGGAAACAGTGATCCATTTACTAAGCCAGCCCCTAGAACTGATACGTTTCAGAGACAGAGAGTGACTTCTGCTGATGCATATGCACGTCCACCATTGACTCCTACCCCTGTTGATGGTAGTCCTGGACCCTTTAAAACTCCTATGCGCCCACCTCAGTCCCCACAAGATCCTTATGGATCAATGCCAGCCACACCACGGCGGGTTGCTGTTGATCCATATGAAAGGCCTGCTTTGACACCAAGGCCAGTGGATAACTTTTCCCATAATCAGTCTAATGATCCATATAACCAGCCTCCTCTTACTCCCCATCCTGCAATAAAGGAGACTTTCGCTCATCCACCCAGGATAATGCGACAGCAGAGTGATTCTTTCCCTCAATCTGGGCCCATTTCAAGGCCAGCTTCTCAGGACCCTTACTCCCAACCTCCAGGTACTCCCCGGCCAGTTGCTGATCCTTACGCCCAACCTCCAGGAACTCCTCGACCAACTACAGTTGACCCGTACATGCAGCAGCCACCAACACCAAGACCTGCTCAGCCAGCAGATTTATTCGTTCAGTCCTCAGCAAATCAGAGACATTCTGATCCGTACGCCCAACCTCCTGGAACGCCACGGCCAGTTCTGAATGATCCTTATTCTCAGCAACCAGCAACTCCAAGGCCAGGAGTCCCAGAGAGTTTTAACAGACCTGCAGTGACAAGACCGGGACTAGTACCAAATAGAGATCCTTTCCTGCAGACACCACAGAACAGGCTGCAAGGCACTTTTGTCAGGCCGTCAGACCCGTGTTCTCAAACTCCTAGACCAGCAGGACCTGCAATAACAGATTCATTTAGCCATGGTCCAGCTGCTCCAGCACGTGACCCTTATGATCAGCCACCACTGACTCCAAGACCTCAGCCAGAATCTTTTGGAACCGGGCAACTAGCCCATGACACTGCTGAACAACCACGGCCTGGATCTGAGGGCAACTTCAGCGCATCTGCAAATTCTCCAATGAGTTCTCAAGCACAACAGTTTCCCAAAGTTTCGCAAGTTCCTGGCCCAGCACCCACTACGGGAGTAACAGATACACAGAATACCATGAACATGTCTCAAGCAGATACTGAGAAATTAAGACAGGTGAGCATAATGTTTAATAACGGTAGTCTTAAAATTCCAAAAGCAAAAGAATTTCCTGAGGCCTTTTTATATATTTGAAGTTACTTGGCACTAAACATAGCTGAGAATTATCTCCATTCACTCAGTATGTTCATTTGATTCTCCAGGGTAGAGCCAGAATACATAGAGTATAAAAAGTCAGTAATGCCTATGGAGTTTGGACAAGATCCAAAAGGAAGTGAGGGCCATTGCTGAAGCCATTGAAAATGTAGATGCTTGGTCTGCTATAGCTCTTTCATCTGCAGTGTGAGAGAAAGAGAAACACCTTGAAAGGGTAATTAATTCTGTCCTGTAATAGATGACATGTAAAACAGGTTGTCAGTGACAACCACTCAGTGACTTGTTCCCCAACTGAAAAAGAGAGAGTAAGCAACGATCTTAAATGAGAAGTCTGACTATTTAGGTGACTAACATGCTGAGGTGAATCCTGCCGCTGGTCATTGATGTTCTGGAGCCACAATCACTCCTGGCTTTTATCGGTGAATATTTGACAGAAAGCTCTTACTGAGACATAGAATTACACTGTATTTGGGAAAGCTGCTCAGTCTTCTGCCTCAAAGGAGCCATGGGAAGTGTATTTAGCACAAACATCCATAGCATTTATCAAACAGAGTCAGAGTACGTTCTGCAACTGCCGTTTAAAACTATTGCCAAATTTTCTTCAGAGGACCTCCAATCACGTTTCTCCCTCAGAATACACATTTTCACGTGGTAAAAGGGCTTCTTATTGTTGGAACAGAAAAACTGAAAGAGTGCTGCTTGTGAGTTAATTAGTATAATAGGTCCACCTCATACACTTTTAATAAGTAGTCTGGAGATAAAGTTGTGTTATCAGCATTTTGCACCATCTCATCCTTCTTTTAACTTCTGAGGTGATTGTGGTGCTTTATAATGTTTTTCTGCAGTGAGTGGAGAAGATTTTTTTTTTTTTTTCCTCCAAAAGGCTTTAACCAGTGGAGTGTAACACTTGAAAGTATGTCAGTTGCAGTACCAAGCACAACGATTTTATTCTTTTTTTTAAACAGCGCCAGAAATTACGTGAAATTATTCTACAGCAGCAACAGCAGAAGAAGAATGCAGTTCGTCAGGAAAAGGCCTTACAGGATCCAGCAGCTTCTCCCCATGGAACTCCTCTTCAGCACTGGCAGCAAGACAATTTAAATCAAATTTTTAACCGCCCTCCTCCTCCATATCCTGGGAATATTAGGTCCTCTGGTGTCCCTCCAGGTGGGCCAAGGTTCACAGTATTCCCAAAAGATCAACGTGGACCATTTCCTGTTGATGGGCAGTTCAATAGACCCCAGTTTCCAGGCGATATGAGTGCCGTGGGGATGAGACCTCATGGTCTTAGGTAAGCTCTTTGATCTCTTAAAAATGGGATATTGCAATAGTAGTTCTCAACTTATTAGATTTATTAGATAACGAATTTTTTGATGAAAAATCACCTGTGCGGTTTACAGTAGCTGGTAATTTTACTGAAATCCTATGCGCAGTGAGCTAAGTATTCCTGTAAGCTTCTGTAACATTAGAATGTATGTTTTACATTGAGTTTTTTATGCCTTTTACTGAGAATTGTTCAAAAATAAAAATGGAGAAAGTGCAATACTTGCAGAAATGTAGATGAGATGCAAGATCTTGTCACCTGTTGTTTTTGGACGTTTATTTAAAAAAATTGAAGTCTGACTCTGGCTTTGATGCCTTCGCGTTGAATAAATGTAATTTTTTGTTCTCACTTATAAAGAAGATGTGATCAAACTGTGACTTCCATCTGTGCCATTTTTAGAATGAATCTGTGATGTAAAATGAATACCAATACTGGTATATTCTGTAGTCTTGAGAATTATTCTTTTCAACATTTTGGATTGTGTGTGTTTACAAATCACTGAAAACAAAGTTATTTTAGACTTACTGAGTTGAATTAAAATGTAGTTTGTTTATTAAGGTAATTCTTACTGTCACAGAATTTTCTGTCCGTTATTATTAGAATTGAAAACAAGTTGTTTGTTAAACATGATCAAAATAATTATGTTATTCTAGTCATAAAGCTCCTTTAAATATAAGCATAATTAGTCAAACTATTTAAATATTTTAATGAATGTATCATTTAAAGCATTTTGGCGAATTGTCATGTAGTAAATATACCAGATTAGGCAATCCTGAGAAAAAAGATAATTTAGTCTTTGATACTTTGTTTTAGATTTGGGTTTCCGGGAGGTGGCCATGGTCCACCATCAGGTCAAGAACGTTTCCTTGGTCCTCAGCAGCCAATGCAACGCCCTGGAGTTCCACCGCAGCTGAGAAGATCTTTGTCTGTTGATATGCCAAGACCAGCAAACAATCCACAAATAAATAATACACCCGGG